AAGAAACATTTCTTATTCAACGGCCATAAAAATTATTTATATTAATGATGTCTCCAAAGTTCAACGAAGTTTTCGCAGAAAAATAACTTATCAGAAATCGCCCGCCGTTTGGTGCACTGCTCCGCAATGAAAACAAGCTTGAGCAATGGTGACATCAAACGATGCATACTCGGTAAGTAATCCTACAATTTTTTGTTTATAGCATAGTTTATACGGATTATTCCCAAAAAAATTATACATATTTTGGAAATGTTGAGTCGAATTAGTCTAGAATCGATTAATTTTATGGAAGAAAACCTTTCAAACAGTTGTAGTCCGTAAACTTCACACGTGTCGGGCTGTGATTGGCAAGGACTTGTACAAATTTGATTCATAAAGAACGGAACGTATCTACCGTGTTATAGGGGGTTGACTGTATTTTTTTCATTAATTTTCTGATGTTTTGTTTCTCTGTTGTTTATTTTGTATTCTTGTGGCACTGGAAAAAGGCCAAATGATCACAGTGTCTTTTGAGATTGAGATTTATATTATAAATGATCTAAAACAATTAACTAATAACACAAAACCATCAGAATTGGAGACAAACTTTATTACCGATTACACAGAAATAAGAAGAACTGAACCTCTAACTCAAGCAGGTGAGAAATTTAATTTAAACCCTTCATTAGAACTAACATCTATGGAAGCAGCAGACATTTTAACAACAGATCTATGGCTAAAAATAGTAGATCTTATTACCACCAGTAATGAAAAAATGGAGAATCAGTTTTTGTTAATTCGAGAGGCAATTAATACTGTTCATAGTGGAATAATTAATTTTAAAAAACAATTGCAACTTACTAACAAAAGAAATGAAAAGATTGAAATAGAACAAACCAAATTACATAATGATAAAGAATTAACGCAATTTAAGATTGCTACTCTGAATAATACTATAAATAATAATAAATTAATATATGACTACACAAATAAATTAATAGATATAAATCATAAATAACTATTAAATTTCTTCATGCACTCTTTAAAGATATCATGCAATGAAAATGAAGATATAAAATCTTTTATATTGGTCTACCACTCTTTGTTGGTGTTTTCTGCAACA